CCCGGCCGCGGGCCCCAGGGCCCCGGCCGCCCCCACACCGGGCCCCGCCGGCACCACCGGGCCCCCCACCGACACAGGACCTGTCGCTTCCGTACCCGAGCCAGCGCGACTGTGTCCTCTGCAAACAATACACACAGTAATATTATTCAAATAATAATATAAATAAAAAAAATGATAAGCATTTGTACATTTAGAAACAATAATAAAAAGGGAGAGAAAAAGAAAGAAGTAAATCTTTAAATGAAGAATTTACTAAAGTAAGAAATAAATAAAAAAAAATTAAAATAGTAGAATAATGTCAATTACACTATTTATGACTCAAAAAAGGCAAAACAGATGTTCACGATCACAATTTATCGAAATCTAATAATAAAAAACACCCGAAAACGTTGATACTCCCATATATCTTGAACACTTGACTGTCTCGATGGCCGAATGGTCGCAAGTGCGACTGGCGGGCAAGGGGTCTCGGGTTCGATTCCTCAGTAAGGCAAAGTATAACTGGGTTTTTAAAAAATTCTCAGTAGTAGCACGGAGTCCAGACTCTGTGCTACAACGATATATGGCAATAGGTTCACCCCCTATAACATGGGACTCATAATACAAATAGTGAAAAGTGGATGTTACATTGTACAGTGGCATTAAGTACCATAATGTGCACCTCTGCCTACCCCTTCGGAGATAGAAGGCGTGGTATTATGTTATGTTATATCTTGAACATAATTGCGATTCGAAAGTTTGGGCATCTATCCACATTAATTTATTGTATTCAAGTATTTATTGCATGCATAATGTCCATATACAGGTGGTTAGAAAATACAATAGTGACAATTATGGACCCTGTCGGGAACAGCATTCAATGTTGGTAGGTCTTATGAGATATTGCGTTCGTTATTTCACACTTACCTTTTCTTCTTAGGTTTTTTATCTCTTTTCGCTTTCTTTTCATCATACAATGGTTCCGGGGAGGGCGGCCTTTTTACAGCTGTAATAGTACACGAAACCTTTAGCTATTTTGGTACATAACACTAATAAATACATATGAGTACGACAGAGTAGTTTGCAGCTAATCCAATTTTTGTACTTTACTTAATCAAAAATAAATTATTTCGACTGTTCAATACAATACAATAATTAGAAATAATCACACTTTCATTAATTGATTTTATGACCAACTTAATTTTAGTATTTTTCCAGCATATTTTTAAGTAATAAGTACGCTGTTTGACGCTTAAAAAACGTGACGTCACAATACACAATCTCGTACAAAATTCATAGAAAACTGTCGTTTTTGACAGTTCGAAAAAAGTATTAAATTTGACTAGTTGGCAAGTACCCGATTCCATTTACTCTGAATAACTAAAATAACCATTAATTGTATGAAATGAAGTCTCTGCATACGCCCTCGGGGATTTCAAAAGGCGTGATGTTATAATGTGTTATAGTAGATACGACCGCAATAACATACAGAATCGATCGTCACCGGAAATAACCAATATGTATTACAAAATCAAAGATTATTTTGACCTCAACATGTTTAGTATCTTACTGATAAGAGCTGTACAAGTGGTCATAATTATCATTGCATGATTATCTATAGGTTTATTATTATGTACTTAAATATTTTATTTTTTATCAAGTGTCTATGAATTTGAAAATTTTAAGTCGATTTTTCTATTCATTCGATTTAATGCAACTGAAGAATAAAATTGACATTTGACAGTTCTTAGTATGGAAGAATTGCTAAAGCCAGATAACTGAAGAATTGAAGGTTATTCTTCAGTCAAAATTTATCTGGCGTTTGGTGTTGGAAAAATCGGCCCTAGTGTCGGAATACTGAAACGCTACTCAATTTTAAGCCGTGCTTAAGTATAGTTCTGTCTCTACAAATTCTTTGTAAAATGACAGAGATGGCACGATATTTGAGCACGACTTAAAATTGAGTAACGTTTCAGTATTTAAATAAGAGAAAAAAAAATGATAAAAATAAAAGTAATGAAATGACACAAACTATACTTTACATTGAATTTTTAAAATACGAACGTCATGACGCCATAATGTTTTTGTGTTAAATGACATACATACTTATAGTCTAAGATCCCGCCTTGAACGACCTTCACCGAGATGCTTATTTGATGAAACATATTTTATATTCAATTTAATATGTCAATAATTATATTCTGTATGGGTTGCCTAATAAATTTTAGTCCAGAACATGACTAATTAATAATTTAAAAAATATTTTTTTTCAAATGTTTCACCGGTTTGACTATTAAACAAATTCCATTTCAATCGAAAGTATGAAGCCCATAGAATATGGAAACGTTAGGTTGCCTATTGTATTCCAGTCATAACTCTCGGGTTGCCAGGTCTAAACAGGTAAATTTATAGTAGGATTTTGCAACGGCCTGATAATTTAATCAAATTTAATTCAAAATAAAGATTATTTAATTATGAACACGGTAAAATAGGGTTGCCTACGAAAAATGAGTCCTGAATTAGGGTTGTCGAATTTTAAAAAGTGAAATATTGCCGCGAGTGAATAGGTAAGACTGAGAGGTCCCAAGCAACCGTTCCGTGCGTTGGAAGAGGACAGAGCATAACAGCTGCTTTTTAATGCTGCTGCTGCTATTTTTGTGTCATTAACAGAAGCTGCTGATATTTTCATTGAATATAAAATAAAAATAGTTCAAGAATTTATAGCTTGTATGTATTAATAATTGCACTAATGTGAATAATGCAAGATATCGCATTATTATGAAAAATTACTCTGCTAAACAAGACAGTGAGCAATTTCTAAAAAAAACTAAAAAAATCACTGTTTATTACCTATACAAAATTATAAAGAAATATATTTTTTTTATTATTCAGCTCCTGAGTCATCGGAAATAAAGCTTAGATCTTCGACACCTGCACCTTCTTCGTCATCTCTCTCTGTTTCGGTTCTTTCAACAATATCATCTATTCTTAAAGGTGCATGATCCCCAATAAATCCTCGTCGTTTTAAATATTCATCTAAGTACCAACCACAGCTCTCAGGTTTAAGTTTGATACATATTGGATCTGTTGCATTCAGCCACATCGAATTTACTTAAATAGTTTGTAAAACTTTTTGTGGTAATGATATCCAGCACGGAGGTATGGAGTTAGAGTCAAAGCCTTTGATTTTTTTAGATACTGCTCACTGTCTTCTTTAGCAGAGTAATTTTTCATAATAATGCGATATCTTGCATTATTCACATTAGTGCAATTCTTAATACATACAAGCTATAAATTCTTGAACTATTTTTATTTTATATTCAATGAAAATATCAGCAGCTTCTGTTAATGACACAAAAATAGCAGCAGCAGCATTAAAAAGCAGCTGTAATGCTCTGTCCTCTTCCAACGCACGGAACGGTTGCTTGGGACCTCTCAGTCTTACCTATTCACTCGCGGCAATATTTCACTTTTTAAAATTCGACAACCCTAATTCAGGACTGATTTTTCGCAGGCAACCCTATTTTACCGTGTTCATAATTATATAATCTTTATTTTGAATTAAATTTGATTAAATTATCAGGCCGTTGCAAAATCCTACTATAAATTTACCTGTTTAGACCTGGCAACCCGAGAGTTATGACTGGAATACAATAGGCAACCTAACGTTTCCATATTCTATGGGCTTCATACTTTCGATTGAAATGGAATTTGTTTAATAGTCAAACCGGTGAAACATTTGAAAAAAAATATTTTTTAAATTATTAATTAGTCATGTTCTGGACTGAAATTTATTAGGCAACCCATACGGAATATAATTATTGACATATTAAATTGAATATAAAATATGTTTCATCAAATAAGCATCTCGGTGAAGGTCGTTCAAGGCGGGATCTCCTACTATTAGTAAAAACAATTGCTAAAATTATGTATAAACGAAATCGTAAGAACAATTCACCAAAATATGATTATTCTTGGACATTTATGGTTCTTTATGATAAATAAAATAATATAAGGTCTGTGGTACTCACGTGGCGTGCTAGGTTTGTGTGTGTGTGGCAGCGAGGGCGCGGGCGGGGCGGGCGCGGGCGGCGCGGGGGGCGCGGGCGGCGCGGGGGGCTCGTCGTCCACCAGGATCACATCCTGAGAGTCCGACTCGTATCCTCCCCATGCTGGAATAACAATCAAATAACATAAAATCTACTAATATTATACAATTCTTAACTTTAAATCTACTAGTTTTATATGATGATTGTAGTTCTGTCACGCAAAAACTACTGAATAGATCTGGATTACATATTTGTAACTGTAGCCTAGAATAACCCATGAGTATATTCTTATTAACTAAAAATCGCGGGTTACTCACGTGAAAATACTAAGAAAAGCTCTACTAGTTTCGAACCACAGAGGGGTTCTTCCTCATGAGCAGCGTGGGCAGTCGCGGCGATCGCGCAGCCTAATTTCCAATTATAAACTATATTTGAAACCACCTTGAGCAAGTTTAGTGATAAATGCTCAAACCTCGTGTGAGAAGAGACCTGATGATGATTTTTATCACGGTAACACGAACGAAGCAACGTGCAGAAGCTAGGTAACTTTTTATCTTAGTAATGTAGACGAAGGTGCGAGTTAGTATAGTATACATTCATAAATAAATGTATACTGACCCGGTCTGGACGGCGGTCGCGGGCTATTCACTGCCGGGCTCACCACTTGCTGTAACACAACAATACAACACATTATTGTACACAATACATACAATATTAAACTATCCGCTTCGTGGTGCATATGCCACATACTCCCACGAAGCGTTTCGCCTCAAGTTTTATTATTAGAACAGCTAAGGAGTCGAATTGCTAGACTCTGTGTTTCCTGGAGGGTATATTTGGGTGTCTTTAGGCCCCGAGTGTATGGGCAGGTGTGCTCCATCGTAGGCCGCAACATCGCCACCAGGCGGGATATTGGCCAAACACCGGCCCACTACATATTAAAAATCTTATCTTATTACTATTATCTAAAGCAATGAAAACTGAGCTGAAGTAAAGTTTAAATTAAATTCTATGCCTTTTGGCAAATTTTCACAAATACTGGAGGAATAAGCTAATTTTATATAAGTTTTAAAATACAAAATAATGTTTTATATGCAATTGACCATTTTTTTTTTTAACAAATCATTGCCCCACACTAGGATTATATCCTGTGTCGTGGGTGCGTTTACAAACATACAAGTTCACATACACAATGACACCCAGACCCGAAACAACAATTTGTGGATCACACAAAGTGTACACTGATAGAAATATTAAGTACATGTATAGGTACCCTGGAGAGTGCCGGCGACGTGAGGGGGGTGCCCCCGAGACGTCTGTGCACCTGCCGCTCTGCTGACGACCGGTTTGAACCTGGGGATAGTGTAATATTATGGTTTATGAAACAAGTCTTTAGATTATGCAGAAAATTGTTTAATTGCACCATCGTTTCTGGAGGGGACATTCCGAAAATGATGGCGTAATCAAACAGGGTAGGGCATATCACGTTGGTCTACTGTGAGGGTAGTCCTTGCCAGCCTGGAGTTACATGAAGCAGCTAGATTCTAACAACGTTTAAATAATAATTCTTTTCTATACTACGTATAAAATACCCAGTATCAATGCCATAGATCATAAACACAAACTGTCATAGATCATGGTTGTAAAAAAGAAAATTTGAAAAAAAAAACCTCAGTTGTCCTCTTAGGTTGTCATTCTTGTATTTTGTATAGTACACATCTTACTCAAAAATTATAATCTTTTCTAATCTGTTCATTTTTTGAGTTTCCTGCCCTAATCCAATAAACCCCAAACTAAATGATACATTCAAACTCACTGAACGAACTTCCATCTATCACCGACTTTTCATTGCCAAACAGCGGTAGTAATGAAGTCAAAGTCAAAGCATTTATTTCAATTAATGCTTTTAAGCACTTTTGAAACATCAATTGGTTATTATGATTGGCTAGTTTCTAGCTTTAAAATAAATTGTGTTAACTTTTCAATGCAATAAATAATTAAAAAATAATCATACTCTCCATCCATTGACTTGACAATTTACCTACTTTTGGATTTTTTCTCGCTAATTTTAAGGAAATAAATATGCTGTTTGACGCAGAAATATGATGACGTCATAAGTTGCGATCCAATACAAAATTCATAGAAAAGTATCGTATTTGACATTTCAATAAAAGTATTGAATTTGACTACCTGTCAACTACGGTAAAATTGTCCGTCCGTCTGTCTGTCTATCAGTGAAGCTAGGCGCTCGTTCGAAAGTGTAGTTTCGAATAGAGAAGAATGAGCAAGAAACTCCATTTTATCGATAAAAAAAAAACATCAAATTACATAACAGTAGAGGACAATGAATCAGTGTTTCATAAATGGCATTGGTAGCGTAATTACGGCCGAATAGACCGGTCACGACTGGCAAGCGATTGCCACAGTTTTGTATTAAAGACCAATGGGGTGTATCGGTGATTGTCGATGACTGCAATAGATGGCGCTGAGCGTTTTTATTTTACTGAGGGGGAATATCAGCAGCAGTGGGTGAAACCGCGAGGGACATAACATAACATCACGCCTTTTATTCCTAAAGGGGTAGGCAGGCCTACATATCACGGCACTTAATGCCAGTGTACAATATAACACCCACTTTTCACTATTTATGGTTTGAGTCCCATGTAATGCCTATTCACCTATTGCCATATACCGGGCACAATTCCAGACTCCGTGCAGTAGCAATAAGATTTTTTTTAAAATCCTGTAATACCATGCCCTACCCGGGAATCGAACCCAAGTAACTACCCACAATGTAGATGCACATTATACCACTGCCTACCCCTGCGACGATAAAAGGCGAGATGTTATGTTGTATGTTCTTTTATATACAATAATCGCCAATATTGTGTCAATATTACCTGTATGTCCGGGCGATGCAACCGTGGGTATGACGAGGTCCCGCCACCGTTTGACAAGCACCTTGGCTCGGCGCGCGAGGCTCGGGTCCGTCGTCTTCCGTCTTAGCTCGTTTACATGCTTGCCCAGTCGGGTGGTCTGGAAATATTCAACAACATACATTATAATACATATTTTACATTTGAAAAATTTGATCATTTGCCCTATAATATGCCATTTAAGTGTGGGAGAGTCGGCTCAACTGGAGTGACACAATGGCCTTTTAGAAACACCGACGTGAAACAAATCTGTTTCGTCGTATGAGTGCGGTTACTGGAGGCTCAATCTCCCCCATACCCAAACCCCGAACCTTTAATTCTCAATATTCTCCCATGTCAATGAAATGTTCAATTTGGAAAGGTCTTAATATAAAATGGGACTATTTATTTACACCTGACTTTTAACCCTTTTTTGGACTTATTCAAGTATATGGATATTTGAAAATAGGTTGCATCCGGACATTGGACTCGTGATAGAAAAGTCAATAACGAGGTCATTAATAATTATCAAATATAAGTAAATGATGAATCATCATCATTAGATGTTACTTAGCGAGTGACTTACTGATAGCGAGTAGAAGGCAGAGGTGCACATTACGGCACTTAATGCCACTGTACAATGTAACACCCACTTTTTACTATTTATGTTATGAGTCCCATGTAATAGGGGGTGAGCCTATTGCCATATACCGGGCATAATTCCAGACAATTCCTAATTGCTAAATGCTATTACTTAGATTTTTTGCTTTCGTTTTGGATAGCATTATTTTTTAAAATCACAATTCAGGTATAGTTTAAAGATTGACTGTATAATTGTCTTATGAACACAACATACATTTTTTGTTCGGTTTTTTGAATTTGGAATTCATGTTCAATTGCGCGCATAACTTGCAAACGACTGCACCAAATCGAACAAGTCTTTTTTGTCAAGACAAAACTTGCAGGGAATAAAGAATGCGGGCAAAGCAGAGATGGGACGTTAGCATAAAATAGAAATCCATAAGCAAGTATAATAAAATCAATTTTCAAATGTAATGCTACGGCATTTGGACATTATGTATTTGGACAATCGTTTTAAAAATAATAATAGAATGGTTTTCTTACCTCCAACAGCTCTTTTGTGATATTGATTCTCTCCAGTAAGGATATAATTTCGTGGACAGTATGCATGTCGACAACCTGGAAATATTTATAAAAAAACATTTAAAAACTACAGTCAAGTTTTTTTTAACAGTTAACTTATTATTATTATTTAGCGTAGATTTTTCAATCAACAGATAAATTCTTATTTCGCAAGTCGCAAGTAATCGGCGTAACCTATGGACACCCGGAACATCAGAAGTGTTACAAGTGCGTTACCGGCCTTTTGGGTATTAGGAATTTCCGGATTGTTGGAGATTCAGGGATTGGGGAGATTGTGGAAGAGGGGGGGGGAGTAATTAGGCACCGGCTCCGGCAACCTCACTAACACGACGAAACAACTCAAGCGTTGTTTCTCGTCGGTTTTCTGTGAGGCCGTGGTATCACTCCGGTCGAGCCGGCCCATTCGTGCCGAAGCATGGCAAATTGTCAAAATTATTCCTCTGATATAATTTATCTGGCGTTGGAAAAATCGGGCCTAAGTAGACCACCGCAACACTCAAAGTCATTAAATGTTTACTTAACATTTTTTGTTGAAATTACTTAAAGTTGAAAAAAAAACTTTTTAAACCGCAAATGTTTGTTTAATTCGAATTTTTCACATTCTATTTACCACTTTATTTTTATCAGTTCTGCATTATTTTGCGTGTAAAGGAACAGTTGTTATATTAAGGGAAATACCCGTGTTGTTCATTATGTACTATAAGTAGCTTACTTTCATTAGAAAACACTTGAAAATCAATATAGATGAAGAATTAAATTTGAAAACCACACATTTTAATCTTTTTGTTTTTACAACCGTTGTCATTTATTTTTTACTGCGACCTTTTACTTCTATCTAGGAAGAAGACCATTTTAATGAATATGGCTTCTATATTAAGTATTAATATGCATAGCTTAGCTGTACTAATAAAAATGTGCTATCGTGTCACAAGCCCATGAACACTTTTCGACCTACATTCTTCTCTAGGTTTAGACAAAACAAAACTAATATTTTTTTAAACTTATGTCCGTAAGATAACCAGTCCCAGTTCGTTAGGAGTTCGTATCATTATGATACGGAAAAAATTGTGCCACACTTTCATTTTTTAGCTGCATTTAATATTATTGCTAGCGAAATAATATTACTTAATAATTTAAATATTTTTATAATAATTACTGTGAGACACTGAGGCATATTAAATTAACTAAGTACTATTATGTAAGCTGCGCGACGTCGCCGCGACTGCGCACGCGGCGACGTCCAGCGGGAAGACGCCCTCTGTGACTCGAAAATAGTAGAGCTTATCTCAGTACATTAACGTAAGTAAACCGTTATATCTAGTTCATTTTATATTAATTCATTCATTTTTAGCCGAGTTCCCGTCCTAATACTCTTCTGCAACGCCAAACTATAAAAACAAGTCTCATTTATTCTGCTTAAAACAGATACTAGCAAAATCTAAAACAGCATTATACTAGCAAAAACCGTACTTAATCCAGGAAGACAAAAGATCTAATTAAGAAAAAAAAAACAACCCAGACAAAGAGAGAATGGCAGACCAACCTAAAATTTCAAATATCATAAGTGTTCCAACCAAACATCTCTTGGATTGGAAGTCTACAAATTCTGGAAAAATGTAAAGGTCGTAGACTCGAACTAGATCCGCAGACACGAATGAAGGATGTCGAAGGAGGTCTACACTACGACAAGATAGTAGAGAGGAAAGGCAAAGAAGAAGCGAAGTACGGTCTGAAATCAGAAGTCGACTAGGCATCTCACAAAACCATGGCAAAACAATATAAGTTGTACTTATAACCTTCTTCCATAAGATATGCGTCTATAGACTCACAAGCCTGTATATTTTTTTTAAGGGGGAAAATCATCGAATGATTTCTCCCGCCTGGGTGAGGCGGAAGGGAGTGTCAGACTCTTGCTGACTAAAAACCACCCCGTTCCTACTCCTGCACTTCGAGCCGGAGCCCCCCGGCAACCCGTTAAGCCCTCCGCGGCTCCTAAAGGCGATAAAAATTGTTGCAGTGCATGTGGACCTGAACAGCACAGAGGATATAGACCAAACAGTTCTTTTACATCTCGACCTCAAATGAGATACTCAAAAAAATATATCCAACTGCCAGGATTTCCAAACAAAATTTCAAAAATCCATCCATTTTCGAAGGTGAGAAATCTGAAAATTTCAGCCTAACAAAATCGTTATCTATCCTCTGATCTGATTAATGGGCGTGATAAAACTTATGTAAAGTGGAACTTATGGAAACTGAATATCTATATTATATAGACACAGTAGAACTGATGACCGTGTTTACAAACCACCCCAAACATCTCTTAACTAAAAGTTACTTAGTGTGACATAGAACCTAAACTAACCTCCCTATTTGTACTGCTAGGTGTTACTTATAGGTTGGTGAAAACCAGGCTTAGCTTAGGAGTTCCTTGAAATATAGGAGAATTAGGTGAAAACGGGCAGAAGTATACATTTTATTAAGAGTTTCTTGCTCGATCTTCTCCATAAAGTTTTAGACCTTCATCTGTACTTATTATAAATGTGTAGAGAGGTCAATTCAGTACATGAAGTATATTTTTGGTATAAAATACTCAAACAACACTCAATATTAAGTCTTGTTTAAATAGTTCTATCACTATATTTTTTTTTTGTAAAATGACAGTGAGGGCTCGATATTTAAGTACAATTTAAAATTGAGTAGCCTTTCAACATTCGGGCGTAAGAGCAGTAAATGTTTTAACAAGTCCACATCAATAATTATTTTAAAGAACAAGAAGGGATAGACAGAGTTTATTCAAAGTTGTATAATATCAAAACATATTACCTATTCTAACAAAACAGTAAAAAAAATACATACTGATGACAATGAAGTAAAATCCAGATCCATTTGAAAATTCACTGTTATTTTCTATTTTCGTTTATGATATTTCTTAGTTTCACGGTTTTACGACGTTCCGCAATCAATGAGAGAGAAAAAAACAACTATCGGCCGTTTCCTATGATTGCGGTGCGCGGGCGCAACCTACACTATTCCATAGATTACAACTTTTGTTCTTAAGTAAAGACAAAGTTCTAATTGTGAATTAGTATCTATTAATAAAATTAGAGTAATTTGTGGCTAATGTCAAGTCATCATTAATTATACGTAATTATTCATTAATCACAGAAAGTTATGAATTTAAACCTAATTCCAAGAAATCCGAAAAGTTTAATAGCATTCACAATTAGTTAATAGAAACATGTCTAAATAAAAAGGTGATCAGTAAAAAGGATAAATTAACTGACTGATTAACTAATACAACTCAATAAGCCATTACAAATTAATCTATACTTAATATTATAAAGCTGAAGAGTTTGTTTTTTTGTTTGAACGCGTTAATGTCCGAAACTACTGGTCCGATTTGGAAAATTCTTTCTGTGTTGGATAGCCCATTTATCGAGGAAGGCTATAGGCTAAAATATCACGCTACGATTAATAGGCGCCGAGCAGAGCGAGTGAAACCGCGCAGAAGTAGCTAGTATTCTAATACGTAACGATAACAAAAATAAGACACAACAAATACCTTGATTTAAAATTTACTTCTGTTGCAGTGAGTATATTATTCACACGTTTGAACGCCTAAACAGCTGAATCGATTAAGATAAATTTTGCTAAAGAGATAGATATACACTGGAAAGCTTCACTACACAAGAATGTAATGTTTTTAGTGTATTTGTCATCGTCGGGGCCCAAATTCGATAAATTGGCGTGGAAAATCAAAGAACAGCACTCAAGTAAAACCGAGGCGTGTTACTAGTTTTCATTAAACTATGTAACAATGTATATTTAGAAAGAACAACGGCGGTTGGGTCGGTTACAGAGTTTTACTTGAAAGAAAATCGGTTTCTGTGTCAAGGCGAAACTCGAAATTCTAACATCGCCGTGAATTACAATAAAATAGTGAAACAGAAAGGGGCATTTCTGAAATTATATCGATATAATTTTACCCCATAACTCTCTGAAGATTGATGGATGGTGTACTCATATTGAAGTCTTGTTTTAATAGATGAGGGGGGGGGGTATCACTTAGATAGTCTTAGCAAAAAAAAAAAGATAAGATAAAAGATAGGCTTAGGAAAAAATCTATATAAAAATGAATTTCCGTTCGTTAGTCTCAGTAAAACTCAAAAAAGGTTGAACCGATTGAGCTAATTTTGGTCTTGGAAGACCAGGGATGGATTAAAAGGTGAGAAAAAAGTTTTTGGCGGTACGAAGTTTAGCGGTCAGCTAGTACCGAAAAGAACCTATTTTCTGTTTAGACCAGAATGAGCAAAGGTAAGCCAATTAAGTGCCTTTATTTTATTGTTTGTTCTGTCCTTTAGGAATATAGGTGTACTACCTCAAGCTACTAATATGTCGTGCTGTGTTTAACTATGTTATATATGACGTACAAAAATGTATTAATAAATAGGTAAGTAGTATAAAAAAATTTAATGTTCAATAATTTTTAATTTTTAAATCATCTGGATAAATTTTTGAATTATCCAACCTCTATTTAGGGTTTCTAAGATATCAAAACATGAATATAAAAGAATTGTGTTTGAACTATTGTATAAAAATACATAATAATGATAAAATATAGGAAGTACTGACAAGATTGATTACAAAATAATTATTATCATGATAAGCATTTTAATAATAAAACTGAAAACATGATTATTTTCAATGGAGTATTTAAATACCATTGATTTATGGTCCGCCTCATAAAAAGCAATTACTGTGGACATTTGGAACACTAGAGAAATGTTAACCATTATTTTTTTATTGTATTTAAAGCCTACAAATTCTACAAACAAATTTAAAACTTTTTTATTAGTCATCATGTCATCATCATCATTATTATCAACAGCCTATAAGTGCTCACTGCTGAGCAAAGCCTCTTCTCACACGGTGAAGGTTTGAGCATTAATCACCACGCTTGCTCACTGCGGGTTGGTGATTACAAACTTATAATTAGAAATTATAAGCCCAGGTTTCCTCACGATGTTTTCCTT